GTTCGGAAAATCGACACAATTCTGAACAATTTTAGAACAAACATTTTTTATAGGGATAACATTCAGCTCCTGGTATAGTTTTCCAAGCTTGTTTTTCATCCATCACTTTAATAACTTATTTTACAGTATAATGTTTCGTTTTGGCGAAAAATTTGATAATTTTATTCATAGCAAAGAATCCGATACTCTCATTCCATTCGACGAAATTAAATTTAGAGGAGAGATCTGTCATGGAACATTTAGCATTATCGAGCGTGCAGAATATAAAGGAGTTAAGGTTGCAGGTATTTATTTGGTCATTAATATCAATTGCATATGCTCAGAATTCAAAATTAACCATTTTAAATTGCATTTATAAATTGCACTCGGTAGTTAAAAAACCAAAAAACATTAATAATCAAAGAAAATCAATATCAATTCAAGAAATTCGGAAGCATAATTATTTCTATTGCAGAAATGTAATCAACTTTATTGGTATAACACAGTCTCCGGATCAAATTATATGTCTAATAATGGATTACATGGAAAATGGAAATTTACACGAATATAACGCGATGCAAAGCTAAAAATGTCTATTGATATTGCAAAAGGATTGTTAGAATGTCATGATCATAAAATTATACATTTGAAGATAAATTCTGAAAACATTTTAGTGGATAAAAACTTAGAATTAAAGATAGCTGGCTTCGGCTTTATCACAACCAGAAAATTTGATAATATAGGTAAACTAACAACTCAACAATATTGCCAGTTTATAATCCCTAATTTTATTTTGTCTACACATTAGAAACTTTACGATGGGCTGCTCCCGAATACATTTCCGGAAATCAAGAAATGAATAAAGAAATGTTGAAACTTTCAAGTATACAGTATTTTTAATTTATTGATGCTGTTAAAGTTCGGAATATTTATTATTTTATCTTAAGCTGATATTTTTACTTGCTCAGATATTTATAGTTGCGGATTAGTTATGTGGGAAATTGCAGTAAATGGCAGGAAGTACGTTTTGCTTGTTTAATATAGGTAATTTTGTAATACATGTAATAGACATACAGCAATATGCGAACAATATCTAATATAGACCTTACGATGGCATGAATGATGATGAAATTAAAGGTGCTAAGGCTTCTGGCAACGTTAATAACTTGATTAAAGAACTTGAACTAGAAGATGTACCAGGCAAATTAAAATGTTTAATAAAAAAATGCTGTGATTTAGATCCTTCCAAGAGAGCGGCTTTAGAAGATGTTGTAGTTGAACTAAAACAATTACGTCACGAAAAACTCCAGAAAGACATTAAAAATGATTCAGAAAACAGGCATTATTTTATTTCACGGAGGAAAGTACAAAGACCTAGTTCAACATCTAACTAAATTATTAGAAGCAATGAAAGTAATGTATTTGCGTTAAAGTATCGTGGTGCAGCTTATTACTTTCTGGAGGAATATGAAAAAGCAATTTCCGATTTGAATAAAGCATATGATCTTGATCAAAAAGATCCATTTACATCAAAATATCTTGGAGCAATTTATCGAGTAAAGCAACAATATGAAAAATCGCGCAAATATTTAACAAAATCACTAAATATTGAATCCGACGGAATATTTGCATTGAGAGAGCGTGGGAAAGTCTATTATCATTCAAACAGATATGATAAATCACGTATAGACTTCGAAAAATTATTAAAAATTGATCCAAATGATATATTTGCAAGAAACTATTTAAGAAAAACCTATAATATATCTGAAGAAGACAGTAAAGAATTTGCACAATCATTGAGACGACATGGAAAGTCATATTTCAAGATTAAAAGATAATCTGAACAAGCACTTGCAGATTTAAAAAGAGCATTAAAAATTGATCCAAAGTGTGCTTTTGCATTGAATGAACTTTTAAAAGAATTGAGGTCAATTTTAGGCGAAGAATTATCTTTAATTGAACCTCATCATTATGTTAAACTTGGCAAAGTTATTTCGCCGCCAAAATTATCATCTAATGAAATTCGTGGAAATGTAGCTGCAGTTCTCCCATATATTCGGCAGAAAGTTAAGATGTGGGGGGTTGATATTGTAAAAGCAGAAAACTTCTACAACATTTTAATAAATTATGATGAGGAAGTTGGAGAGTTTTCCGATGATGAATCTAGATTATCTCGATTTGATTGCATTGCTACTTTATTTGCCTTATCTGAATGTGCCGTTGTCCAAGATATCTTTCAAACTATGTCTCAATTTCCAATTGCATTTCCTTTATTAATACCTGAATTAGATAAAATGAAAAAGTATAAAGTAATGCTTCCTTTATTTACAGGACAAGTTATTAAATGGGAAACAAGTAATGGAACAATAGTAGAGAATCATCTTTTCAAGGATTCTTTCAAAATGATTGTTGCAGTCCGGATTGGAACGAATCCCAAAGGAAAAAGTACGATAATTAATCAGTTAATGAATTCAAAATATATGTTCACATCATGTTCTGAGCCAAGAGCAGAATACGGAATCCCATATATGATTAGTGGAAGTATCGAGTTCGTTTGGTTAACTGAAGAGACTTGTGGGGATGCTTTGTGGAATATGGTATTTAAGAATTATTATGGAAAAGGAGAAAAGGATATCATATTGCTTGCAAACTTACATGGTGATGCCTTAGATTATCCGGATCAAATAGAATTTTTAAACCAATTTCCTTCCTGCTTCATGGTTTACTTAATGCCTGGATATAACCAAATTCAAAAAGATAAGATTAAAATTTTGATTAGTCCTAAAAAAGCAATATATAATTATGTTGATTCTAGTGATGCCAATATAAAGAAATATACAATTAATACAAACTCTTTGGAAAAGTATGAAACAATAAAAAAAGTATGCAAAATTTTTAAAGAAGCTCTAACATTAAATTTTGAATTATCAACCAATACCATTAATGCTAATGGATTAAAAATAGGAAAAACACTTCAACTTTCAGGAAATACCGAGTTTCTTGAATCTCTTAATTACATTGTAGGCTTTGTTGAGAATAAAACTTGCCGTTACATTAAATTGAATGTTATGCAACTTCAAAAAAAACAATTTAATGATATATCAAAGTGCATACAATTTTGGCACCAAACAACCGAGTTGCAAAAATTAATTCGAAACTTCATTAGTATTCTAGAACTACCTATCAATATAAGAAAACAAGCTCTAACACGTCTTGAACGAGAAATATCCAGGATTTCTATGAAAGGTTCATCTAAGTCTCGTAATGATGCTATATCCAAAAGAAAGGAATTAAATAGTGCAAGTATTATTAACACTGATCAAGAAAAGGATAAAGAGATTCGAAAAGAAATTGCAAAACTTTGGGAAGAAGTTGATAACAAAAATTTAGGTATAGAACATTTTTTCCGTGAATTGGGACATATTTATAAGATTTTTATTCCCGTTATAGACAATGGTTCAAAAATTATTTCTGTCAATGGTCTTACCAAAGAAAATATTTTGAAGTTACCAGAGTACTGTGCTGATCTCTTAATTAGTGGCAATACTATAGAATTACTTGATGGTGATTCTACAACTATATCCGAAGCTTGGTTCTTAGCAATTTGTAATTGTATTAATGAAAAACATCCGAAACTTAAAGTTTTTGTTATCAGTATCCTTGGATTACAATCATCTGGAAAGTCCACTCTTTTAAATGCGCTCTTTGCCTGCAAATTTGCGGTTTCAGTTGCACGCTGCACTAAGGGGTTTTTTATGCAATTATTGCTTTTAGAAAAAGAATTATCTGATCAGCTTGGTGTTGATGCTTTTATCTTGATAGATACTGAAGGACTTGGTGTGCCAGAGAAAATGGGTGAGCCAGAATCAGAAAAGAAAGATCGAATATTGGCAATTATTAACATACTTGAGAGTCAACGAGAGAGTCGACTGAAATTTTACAGATAGCACAGACAGCAATTGTGACAATGGCACGCATTAAGAAGGTTGGCATGTCCCCCGATATACTTATAGTGCAGCATGTTACGAAAAAAAATGCGATTAATTTAAGTGTTCTAGAACAAAAATTTTGTGAAGCTTTTCAAAAAAGCTTAGAAATAGCCAAGGAAAAAGACAGTGAGATGGGTGCACACAATTTTGAATGGCTTAGCAGTCTTAATGCAAGGATTAAAAATAAAGAACTTCTCAAACTATTTGCGCCATTTAAAAACGGCGCAACTGCATATTCCCCGCCATCGAATCAATATCACGAGGACATTGTTGATTTATACAATTCTATAATTAATGATTTCAAAAATTCACAAAGTAAAAAAAAATTTTCAGATTGGTATCCACTAATTAAAAGTTATTTAGATGCAATAATGGAGGATGCCGATAAAGTTTATAAATTTGGTTATAATTATCAAAATGGAAGTGGAGAAAAAAAAAGAATATACGGCATTTAATTATTATCAAATATCTGCTAACGCTAATGCAATAAATGCACTTGATGACTGTTATATTAATGAAATTGGAATTGAAAAGGACGAATATAAGGCATCTATTTATTATCAAAAATCTGCAGAGATGGAGAATGCTAGTGGAACATATACTGCTGGATGTTGTTGTCTTAATAGAATTGGAGCTGAAAAGGATGAACATAAGGCATTCATTGATTATCAAAAATTAGCAGAGATGGATGACGTTAAAGGAACATATAATGTTGGAGATTGTTATGATGAAGAAATTGGAGTTGAAAAGGATGAACATAAGGCTTTCATTTATTATCAAAAATCTGCTGAGATGGATGACGTTGATGGAACAAATAATATTGGAGATTCTTATCGAAATGGAATTGGAATTGAAAAGGATGAACATAAGGCATTCATTTATTATCAAGAATCTGCAAAGATGGGTGACGCTAAAGGAACATATAATGTTGGTGATTGTTATCTTAATGGAATTGGAGTTGAAAAAGATGAACATAAAGCATTCATTTACTTTCAAAAGTCTGCAAAATTAGGAGATGCTGATGGAACATACATTGTTGGATATTGTTATGAAAAAGGAATTGGAGTTGAAAAGGATGAGCATAGGGCATTCATCTTTTATCAAAAATCTGCAGAAATAGGACATGCTAGTGGAACAAATTATGTTGGATATTGTTATTTTAATGGAATTGGAGTTGTAAAGGATGAACGTAAGGCATTCATTTATTATCAAAAATCAGCCGAAATGGGAGACTCTAGTGGAACATACAATGTTGGAAATTGTTATCTTGATGGAATTGGAGTGGAAAAAGATAAACATAAAGCATTTGTTTATTATCAAAAATCAGCAGAGATTGGCCATGCTAGTGGAACATATATGGTTGGATATTGTTATCTTAATGGAGTTTGGAGTTGAAAAAAATAAAAATAAGGCATTAATTTATTATCAAAAATCTTCAGAGATGGGACATGCTAGTGGAACAAATTATGTTGGATATTGTTATCAAAACGGAATTGGAGTTGAAAAAGATGAATATAAGGCATTCATTTATTATCAAAAATCTGCAGAGATGGGGGAATTTAGTGGAACATATAATGTTGGAGATTGTTATCTTGATGGAATTGGAGTGGAAAAAGATGTACATAAAGCATTTATTTATTATCAAAAATCTGCAGAGATGAATAATGCTGATGGAATACATAATGTTGGATGTTGTTATCTTAATGGAATTCGAGTTGAAAAAGATGAAAATAAGGCATTTATTTATTTTCAAAAATCTTCAGAAATGGGACATGCTAGTGGAACAAATTATGTTGGATATTGTTATCAAAATAGAATTGGAGTTAAAAAAAATGAACATAAAGCATTTATTTATTATCAAAAATCAGCAAAGATGAATGAGGCTGGTGGAATATATAATGTTGGATATTGTTATTTTAATGGAATTGGAGTTAAAAAAGATAAACATAAAGCATTTATTTATTATCAAAAATCTTCAGAGATGGGGCACGCTAGTGGAACAAATTATATTGGATATTATTATCAAAATGGAATTGGAGTTGAAAAGGATGAACGTAAGGTATTTATCTATTATCAAGAATCAACAGAAATGGGGAACTCTAGTGGAACATACAATGTTGAAAATTGTTATCTTGATGGAATTGGTGTTGAAAAAGATGAAAATAAGGCATTTGTTTATTATCAAAAATCTTCAGAGATGGGCATGCTAGTGGAACAAATTGTGTTGGATATTGTTACCAAAATGGAATTGGAGTTAAAAAAAATGAATATAAAGCATTTATTTATTATCAAAAATCTGCTGAGATGGATGAGGCTAATGGAATATATAATGTTGGATATTATTATTTTAATGGAATTGGTGTTAAAAAGATGAACGTAAGGCTTTTATTTATTATCAAAAATTCATTAAAATAAGAAATCAAAATTAAAAAATATAAATACGTATACCTATTTATTAGCAAAAACTGTAATTATAAATATTATTTTAATAGGATTAAAATTAAAAGATATAAGATATTTATTTAGTAATTTAATATTAAAATAGAAGTTAAATATATTTTTTAAAATTTTATGTAAATTTTTTTAATATATTACTAGTAATTAATAATAGTTT